GCTATTGCTGGACCCCTGTTAATCCTCATACTAGCATTAACCATAGGACCCATGGTGTTTAATAGAATCCTTGCCTTTATCAAAGAAAGAGTAGAAGTAGTTAAACTAATGGTACTCTCCTAACCCTATATGATTCTTTCCGAAGACGAGGAATAGTTAAGGATTTGACTCACTTACAAGGAAATGGGGGAATGTTGAAACCAGAAAAAATAGGGAATAAAATAGGGACTGCCTTAAAGAGATTTGGTCTGGAGGAACAAGGAACTTAGAGCAGAAACTACAAGGAAGTTAAGAAAGAACATAGGGAGTGGAGAAGGCGGAACTACAAAACCAATGGGGCTGAACAAGTAGAGGACCACCTGTTCAAGTGTCTAGGTTAAAATTTTTCCATTACTCAAAACCCAGAAAGCTTAGGTCATGCTCATGCCACTCGAGTAGCCAGTAGCTAACAGCCACATTTGCTTCTATACAATGCTTGCTTGCTCATGTCTATAAAAAGACTTAGCTGTAAGCTCTTAGGGTGGCTCTCGTTTGCAGCTCTTATGAGCACCGTGTCTCCGGACACTCTGAGGGTCTGCCCCTGCTCAGGTTAAAACTTTGGCCAATAAAATAACATTTCTGAATCCTGAAAGTTTCTGACAATTTGTCTCTCGTGTTGGTGGATGCAACATTTGCTACTTTCTACTATCAGTTTAACACAATGTAATTTAACGTGATATTCTACATGCACAGTGTGTCATACTGTTCAGCTCAGAATAAATTACCAGTGTGACCTTGTCCATGTGTCAACACACAGGGTGAAGTTCATCCCCATCGTTAGCCTCCCAGGCTGAGGTCAGTGAGCACTGCAAGAGCTGATATTTGTGCTTTCAAGACAGAATTCATGTCCATTGTGCATCTGTCACTGAGAGCCTATCATTGTGGAGAAACAGTGTAAGAAGAAGGAACAAACAGATGTCGAGAATTTTAAAAGCCCTGGACTCTGTGCATTCTGCCTGTTATCCTTCTGTCCCTGGTGTTTTACCAACTGTCACATTCAGTGACTGAGGTACGCACAGCACAAAAATCATTCACCTGTAAGGGAATACTATGATCCTAATACCACACTGTCATTAATATATAGAAATCTCAGAGATTTCTGAGAAGGTTGAAAAATGGCAGGATTAATTAAATTATCAAACATAACTGAACCCTCAATCCCCCTTGTTCAATGTGCCTCTTGAGTGGTGTTAATGTCATGCGTTTAAGAGTACAACAGCCATGGCCCTGTGATATGGTGATTGGAAAGACCATAAATTTATGGATTTTACCTCCATTGGGATCTGGACCTGGCTTCATGCTCATGTGGTAAATAATAAAATTGTTCATGGATTATACCCACTTCTAATGCTGCCATCCTGCTGCATCTGTTTAGGAGCCTCCCATGACTTTCAACCAGTATATTTTGCCTGTGGAAGAAAACAACGGAGGGAAATCACCCTTGAACATGACTGGAATGACACACATGCTCTACTTTTCACAATATGGCAGTGAAACTCCTGGGAATCAGCCCTTGTGGTCATGCTATACTGCAACACTAATCCATTCTGGATGCTTTAACAAAGTACCAACAACAAAAATTTATTTCTCAGAGACCTAGATGTGAAAAATCCAGGAACAGATGCTGGCACTTTTGATGACTCGTAAAAAGCCTCCCTAGTGGCTGTTTGCTGCAATCTCAGAGGCTGGATGGGGCAAGGGAGCTTCCTCAGTCCTCTGTTATAAAGATCCTCATCCTGTTTAAGTACACTCCGACTTCCGCCAAGATGGAGGCATAGGTAGATATGCCATGCTTTGTCACACAACCAAGTTTAGAGACAACCAAATATTAGCAAAAGAAAACACAGCCAGAACACAGAAAATTGAACTTTTTGGAAGTCTGATAACAACAAATTCTTCAGCCTGACCAGTAAGAGGGGCAAAACCAGGGGCTTGTGGAGTGGGGTTGCACAGGAAAACTCGGTCAGAAGGACTCAGGCACATGGAACCCAGGCACAGGGTTGGACCCAGTGAGCTACAAAGCGAGCGACCTTGGGGAAACAGCAAGGGAGCAGGGCTGCATGTTGATTTTGGTGGCACATTAGTGCATGGATAGATAAGCGAGGGAGTGGGCGATTAGACCAGACCCAGCAGGTCCCCAGCGGCAGCAGAGGGTACCGCCATTTCCCCGCTCTGACCCCACCTCCATGTACAGCGTCATACCCCAGCGACTCTGAGTGGCCCAGCCCTGGTGAACCACCTAAGGCTCTGCTCCTCACCCAGAGGAGCGAAACAGCAGAGGGCACCGCCATTTTCCTGCTCTGACCACACCCCCACATACAGTGTCTCAACCCAGCGACCTAGGAGTTGCAAGACACTTAAGGGGCGTGACACTTAAGGGGCGCGAACAGACCAAAAATGGCTCAAGAAGATCTCAAAGCCCCAGAGCTTATAAACCTAAGTGATGAAGAAATAGCAAATCTCTCAGACGCAGAGTTTAAAACACTGGTGATCAGGATCCTCACAGAACTGGTTGATTATACCGACAAATTAGACAAATATATGAAGGCAAAACTAATTGAAATGAATGGAATTGCACAGGACACCAATAGCAATGAAAAGGAAACTGGGACTCAAATCAATGGAGTGGACCAGAAGAAAGCAAATAATGGTCAAACAGAAAAGAGTCAAGAAGCAAGAATTCAAAGAAATGAGGAGAGTCTTAGGAACCTCCAGGACAACTTTAAACGCTCCAACATCCGAATTATAGGGGTACCAGAAGGGGGAAAGGCACAGCCACCGGTGGAAAACTTATTTGAACAAATAATAAAGGAGAATTTCCCCAATCTGGCAAAGGGAAATAGACTTCCAGGAAATCCAGGAAGCTCAGAGAGTCCCAAAGAAGTTGGACCCAAGAAGGAACACACCAAGGCACATCATCATTACATTAGCCAAGATTAAAATGAAGGAGAGAATCCTAGAAGCAGCAAGAGCTAAGGGGACAGTCACCTACAAAGGAGTTCCCATCAGACTGTCAGGGGATTTCTCAAAAGAGACCTTACAGGCAAGAAGGGGCTGGAAAGAGGTATTCCAAGTCATGAAATCTAAAGACCTACAACCAAGATTGCTCTATCCAGCAAAACTTTCATTTAGAATGGAAGGACAGATAAAGTGCTTCTCAGATAAGATCAAATTCAAGGAGTTCATCATCACCAAGCCCTTATTATATGAAATGTTAAAGGGACTTACCTAAGAAAAAGAAGTTAAAAAAACATGAACAGTGAAAGGACAGCAAACTCACAGTCATTAACAACCACACCTAAAACGAAAGCAAACTAAAAGGACAGCTAGATCAGGAGTGGAAACATGGAAAGGAAGACTTCAAGGAGGGTTAGCAACAGGGGAGTAGGAGAAGGAGAAGGGGGGAGAAGGTACAGAAAATAAGTAGCACAGACAGTAGATAGAAAATAGATGGGGGGCAAGAATAGTATGGGAAATATAGAATCTAAAGAACTTGAGACACATGGTCATAAACTAAAGGGGGGTTAATGGTGGGGACGGTGGGTAGGGTGGAGGGCAATGAAGAGGGGAATAAAACAACTGTAATGGCATAATCAATCAAAAAAAAAACTCCACCCCAGGACTGATATTTGTCCCAAGGTCTCACTTTATAACATCATCACAGGAGCCTCAGGTTTTAGAATGGGAGTATTTGAGTGACATAAACAGCAACCATGGCAACAAAAAAATGAATCAAATCATAATCCCACCCTGTTGGAAGTAACTCCAGAAGACCACCCCAAACTGAGGGTGTTCATTATCCTGTGTAAGCTTCTCCTCTTGGAAGCAGAAAAATGAAGAAAATGCTTAAGAACAAGCTGAAGGCATTGCAGGGTGGACAGTTTCACCCTAGATATTGAACTAACACATTCATATAATTTATTATTGTTCTCCTTATTGTTTATATATCACCATCATTCTCAATCTATTTTGTTCATTCTATGAACTAAATTTGTTTTATACCCATAATGGTTGGTAGCTCTGAGTTCTCACTCATGTTTCCTAGGTGTTCTGTGGAAAACAGTCAGGGTCTAGTGTTTGATGTCTGATGCTGACATGTTAAGATTTACCCACCTCTCTCCACCTGCAAACATATGATAGAGAAAGTGGGAATTCTCCCTAGTTTGCTGCAGGTAGGAGATTGAAACTACACAAACTCCTCCTGTGAGCAGGACCCTCCTCAATTTCTCAGGGATGAACAGTAAAACCTGATCCACCTATTATGTGATGTGATCCAATCATTCCTGACTTACTGAAAAATTGGCCCTGCTCTCAACAGACTCCTCAATGAAGTGACACATTTTACCACAGTCCCTCTGTGTGGGAAACACCCTAGACATCCATACCAAGGAATAGTGGGGGACCCACTACCTCCTCATAATGTCAACTGCTATTGGGGTCATGGACATGAAGTCAAGTCAACAATCATCACCAGAAAGGTTTTGTTCTTGGTGTTGGGTTCATATGCCTCTGGTGTCCACTGTCCAGCATGCATGTGTCCTGCTGCTGATGGGCTTGTACTCTGACCTACATGGGGTTGCTGTATTCTTGGGTACTACAAAGCCTCTGGTTGGATTCAGCTGATGTAGTTTAGAAGGTTTGGTGACTCATCGAGATTGTCATAAGCAAATGTGTGTGATTCTTTGACTTCGGTGCATGTGAAAATGGTTTCCTTTGATGACAAAAAGCCTCTGTAACTCAGATACTGGAGAGGTCAGCATAGAAGCATGAAGGGAGGGTAGCTCCCAGAGGGAAACTTCTGTGTGGATCCTGAACTCCACACCTGCCAGGAAACCAGCCCTTAAATTGCTGCTGCAGCTGCTCCAAAGCTGAAACCTGAGCTTAGTGTGACCTGAGCGCCCCCTGGTGTCCTGAGGGCCCCCTTCAGCCCAGTCCTCTTGCCTTTCACAGGGACGATTGTGTCAAGGTTCACACTGAGTTCCCCTCACTGTGTGTCTCACACAGTAATACACAGCTAAGTCCTCGGCTCTCAGGCTGCTCAGCTTCATGTAGGCTGTGCTCTCAGACTTGTCTGTGGTTATGGTGAGTCTGCCTTGGAACTTCTGTGCATATCCGGTACCACCAGTGTAATGGTTAACATACCCCATCCACTCAAGTCCTTGACCTGGGCCTTGTCTCACCCAGTGCATGTTGTAGCTGGTGAAGGTGTATCCAGAAGCCTTGCAGGAGACCTTCACTGAAGCCCCAGGATTCCTCACCTCAGCCTCAGGTTGCACCAGCTGTACCTGGGAGTGGACACCTGTGGAAAGAAGATAGAAGTGGGTAGAAATATCCCTTGACTGTCCTTGCTCCCCTCTTCAAACCAGGAATGAAAAAGCCCCTTACCTGTAGCCACTGCCACCGTGTAAAGGACTCTACAGCTCCAGTTCATGGTGAAGGGCTATTCCGTCAGGACTTTTGTAGGGGAGGTTGTGGCTGTGGGTGATGCTCTCAAGGCACTCACAGACCCATATTTAAACTAGTCTCCTTCTCATTTGCATTTTCATGAGACAGAACACTTCATAGCTGACTATTTGACTCTACTTGTAAAAGGGTAGAAGACACAGAGACCATACTCAGGGGGAGAATCAGGATTCGAGTCCACGTCAGTGTTGTTGGATATAGGCCGCCTTCCAGGTCCCTGGACTCTGTACAGACATAGCTCCTCCCACTGAGGAACTAGTCCTCACAGGACATGCTCCTCACTGTGACTCCACCTTTGGTGATACAGGGACCAGTTGGGCCTGCCTGGTCTTGATAACTGCATGTCTTATTGCTGGGCCAATGTCTCTCCAAAACTTTTCCCGTCATGAGTTAATAAAGCCATCTGGTCCCCAACTCCTTACAATTCAGATATAAAGGAGCCCCAAACATACTCCCATTGATTGTGGTTCTCATGCCTTATCAAGTTTGGTAACTGCTCTGATGGAATAAGGTATCTACAGTCACCTCATGTCCAATTTCATTGTTAATGTTTTTTGAGAGGAGGCCCTCTGAGAAATTTCTTCCCCAGCTCCATGTGCACCTTCTCATGGGGCGTGAGTGGTGAACTTGTGGGTCTGATGTGTCATTTGCTGCCCAGCAAACATATGGCTTAGGGAGGGTCCTATCTGGGTTCACAAGGCATGAACTTCTCATGGCTGGATGCTGACTTCAGGGTACTCCCTCATAGACACCACATGCTTTGTCACCTGTGGGCACAGAGAACTGGCCATACTAAACCCCAGTGACTCTGTGGAGAACCCCACAACCAGTGTTCTATGAATCACCAGGGAGCCTCTTCCCTGGAGCTGTCCGATGCACATAAACAGCCAACACCTGTGAGTCTGGAAGCTCTTGGTGTATTTGGGAGCCTCTGATGTCCTCCAGTTCCTCTTCTTGAATGTCTCATCTGAGGATCCCTGCATGTGGCCTTAGACCCACTGCACCTCTATGTGAGGGGGCTCCACCTGCAGGCCCCCCAACCCCTGGCCACCATGGATGAGAATAAGTCTACCAAGACCTGATCTGCTTGGGGAGGAAAAATGGCCAATCTCTCAAAGGGTCAAGAGCCTTTTCCTCAATGGACTTTTATTGGGTTTGTATTGCACAGAAATACAGGTAAACTTATCAATCATTGTCAGGCAGTAAGGATCAAACAATAGATAGCATACAAAAAACTATGAAGGCTTATTCTGAGTCAGAGTCTGTTAGTGAAGGGCTACAAAACTTTGGGAAACAAATTCATTTCCTGCTTGGACCATTATGATTTAATTGAGAGCATTCTTAGCAAAGCAGGTCTCACAGGATTTTATGTATTTTTTTAAGCCTGATTGCCTGGGGATCCCACCCTTTACAACACCCTCTGTCATTGTTTCAGGCTTAAGCCAGGCAGGGGAAGTAAGGAGACTTCTTGCAGACAGAAAGAGGACTCAAGCTATGTCAAAGCTGAGGGGTGAGGGTCCATCACCCACTTTTGCTATAGTCCCCCAAGTCCTTCTCTGATCCCCCCCCCCAGTGATTGTGCCTGTCTTTGGTCATCTCTTCCTTGAGGAACCTTACCCATCATTAGCTAACTAATCATGCACTGGGGGCCCGGAGGGTGAAGTGAAAGAAGCAGGGCCTGTGCCCCTGCCAGGGAGATAAGCTTTGTCTCCTTAGTGGCTTATGGTCCGAAGGTCACTCACTCTGCCTTAGCCATGGGGGTGGGGGTGTTATAGCTTCTGAAACCAGGCAGGGCAGTTCCCAACATATTCCCCTTTTTTGTTTGTAAAATCAATTGTAGTTGTTAAGCCTGCAAAACCAACTATTTGCTGTTTTCTAATGCAATCACAAGAAAACAACTTCTATATACATTGTAAAGCACAAACAAGGATTAAAACAAGGATGTGCCCAAGGGCTATCATAACCCAAACTTGTAAATTCAGTCCATCAAACCAGATTTTAGGGTTCAGCCATTTTAGATTATTGTGGAGGGTCTGGAACAACTTTTGTCCAGTAAGGCATGTGAAGTCACTGAGCTGCTGGTAGAGCTCAAGCTGGAGCTGATCAATTTGTCCTTTGAGATTGGTAGAGAATGTGCCCTGCAGGCAATGACAAATATCTGTTCAGGAATGCTGAGTGGAATTCCACTTTAAAGGAGTAACACACACTTAGAGAAGTCTGGATTGGGAAAGTTCAAAGGAACAAAAGTAAGTTGCAGTAGGGATGCCTTTCCTGTGATATGGCTTCACCCTCTTCACCAGCAGCAATAAAAGGTCCTTCTGGAGAGTAAACACAAGCATACCCTATTCCCTAAGTTAATGGTTCAACTGGGCCTTCCTATCTTCCTTCCCCTAATGGGTATTCATATAAGACCAAAGGGTATGGGCCTGCAGGCCTGTTTTGCACAAGGTTTTTGTCTATGGGTGACTTTAAATTATCATTATAATTAAAAAATTATGTATGTATTACTAGCATGATTAAATTCTGGGGGGCTGTCTTGGCTCCCCTTTTTTGTGTTTAATAATGTTTTAAGGTTTTGTGAATTCTTTCAATAATTGCTTGGGCCATAGGTTTATAGGAGATACTTGTTTTATGTTGAATCCCCCATTTTTCTGAGAAAACATGAGTGGCTTGTGCAATATATGCTGGGCCATTATCAGTTTTGATTTATTGTGTACAGCCTAGGTGGCTGAAGGCCTTTAACCAGTGATCTCTAATATTCTTTGCTTACTTCCCAGAGAGGGGACTGGCATGTAGAGTGCCTGAGTAGTGTCTACAGATGTATGTAATATTTTAATATTCCAAAAGTGGGGTAATGAGTAACATCTGTCTGCCAAACCATTTGAGGTTGCAACCCTCTGGGGTTAATTCCAAGAGTAAGGGGCACTTCTGGGAGCACTTAACAATCTGGACATTCTCTGACAATTTGTTTTGCTTGGGCACCTGGAATATTACATTCTTTATGCAGGGCCTAAATATTTTGGTGGAAAAAATAATGATACATTACCACAGATTGAGAAATATCTGCTAGGCTGACAAGGGCATTAGCCTGAGAATTACCCTCTGCCATAGGTCCAGGCAAGCCCAAATGAGATCAGATATGGGTAGCAAATAACAGGTGCTTACTTTTATCTAAAAGACTCTTCAGGGTTAGAAATAGACTTAGTAACTGAGGCTCAATGGGTCCTTTTAATAGAGCCTGATCTATATAAAGGAGTGTATATACAGTATAACCAGAGTCACAAACTAAGTTGAGAGGCTCTTTGGGCTAATGTTGAAGGGAAAGAATAGCCCCTGAAATTTCCACCCCTTGAGTGGAAGAATGCCCTCCAGAAAGAAAATGTTTCCACTCATTCCCTTATTTCTAGGTGATAGTAGCTTTCCCTGTTTTTCCTGAACCATCAATAAAGATGGTTCTGGCTTTAGGAATAAAAGTGGTGCTGAATTTTTTCCCTATGCAGATATTAAGAGTAGGGAGGTTTTGGAGAAGTTTATCAGAAGGCAAATGGATATTAAGGTTCCATACAAAATTAGTGACTGCACACTGAAATTTTAGACTGACTATAATGTTGTTGTAGATATACTTGGGTGAGTGGAACATGTGAAAGAGCTGGGGGTCATGACAAAAAGGCTGAATTACTCTATCATGGCTTTTAATAAAAAGCTAACATAGCCCAATAATATAGATGCATTGGGGTTGATGAGATAAAAATAACCATTAGACCATTCTTTTTTTTTTTTTAAGGGAATACAGTTCACCAGCCTACAAGCTAGAACCAGAGGTGTAGAGAAGACATAGTAATTTTTAAAAAAATTTATTTATTTATCTTTAGAAGGAAAGGGAAGGAGAGAAATATCAATGTGTGGTTGCTTCTGGTGCATCCCCTGCTGGGAACTGGCCTGCAACCCAGGCATGTGCCCTGACTGGGAATGAACCGCAATCTTTTGGTTTCCAGGCCCATGCTCAATCCACTGAGCTACACCAGCCAGGGCTACCATTAGACCATTTCTAAACCAGGTGACAACTGTCTGATTAGGCCAGTAGGTGTCCCCAGTGTGAGGAAGAAAAAAAGTCTGACAGGTACTTGCCCGTTTACCCTAGTAAGCTGCCTGGAAGAAAAGTATTGGTTAACTAAATTTAATTCTTGTCTAGCCTGATCACTTATGGATCTAGGAGAATTTAAGTCTAAATACAGATAGTGGCCACTAAGAAAAAGGTGGCAGGGTGATTTGTATTCCCCACTGAGTGAGGAGGTCCCTGCCCCAGATATTAAGTCAGGCGGAAAGGATGTAAGGCTGAATTCATCCAACCTGACCATCTGGATTAAAACATTTAAAAGTCCATACACTTTCACCATGGCTGGTGTAGCTCAGTGGATTGAGCACGGCCCTGCAAACCAAATGATTGCGGTTCAATTCCCTGTCAGGGCACATGCCTGGGTTGCAGGCCAGTTCCCAGCAGGGGACGCACAAGAAGCAACCGTACATTGATATTTATCTCCCTCTCTCCTTCTCTTCCCTTCTAAAGATAAATAAATAATTTTTAAAAAAGTCCACACACTTTCTGGGCTGAGAAATGCCCCTGATCCCAGGTATAGAAATGCAAACAAAATAGAAATCTCTTGTTTGAAATTAAGCATGCTGGCAGCCTCCCAAAGCATGGGGGATGCTGTCCCTTACGTCAGAGGTGACCTGGCTAGAACTCCCCTTCATGACATGCTGTCTGCAGCAGTTCTAAGTCTGCTGCTAGGTGCTGGCCAAGGCCAGGCTCCGCATGGAACCATGACCTGAGGGGCTGATCCAGTGGGTCAGGACCCGGGACTAGTGCTAGGGAAAGGTTGCTCCTGAGCACATGGGGCAAAAAGGAGTTGAAGGGGATCAATTCTGCCCTCTGCTGCTGTTGATCCTTGGCATAAAGACCAAGCCCCA